ATATTTTAGACAATTAATGTGACTCTGACATTGCTTAATTGTTTAATACGGAGCTCTGGTACGGGGCTTTTTCCAGAGGCCCTCACCCTACTCTGACTACACCCGTGGACCCTGTCTCATTCCCCACCTCTACAGATAGAGACCCTAGCTGCTGCGAGGGAGGGGGGGCGATGACCGCTCTGGCTGCTTCGTGCTGAGAAGGGGGTGCAGTAAAGGGTGCAGGTAGGTCTCCATCAGTGGTCAGTGAGAGGGCCTCAGAAGATGGGCACTTCTATTCCTGGGTGACAGTGGTCAATCACCTCCTCTGCCAGGCATACTGGATTTCACCACTCCTTACCACCACGGCCTGCACCTTGCCTTGATTTCCCTCTTGCCTTCCCACTAAGCAAGAGTCGCCTCAGAGCTCTGGATTCAGCGGTACCTTACCAGTGTGCCTCTACTTTATGCCTTTTGGGAGTTTCATCTAGATCCTAGTTGTCTCTGCACAAGCTTTAGCATAGTACACTCGGGATCATTCCTTGAGAATATCGGACCTGCCTGTCCGATAGGTGTGGGGACTGTGTGACCTCTCGCTGCCAGAGCCTCGGTCAGAGTCACAAGCCTGTTTCGCTTCCCTGGGGCTACAGGTAGGGAAATGACACAGCCCCGGGATGGCTGCCTCTAAGGAAGGGAGGTNAAGCTGAAAGCTTTTCCTCTGAGATCGGGAACAAGACAGGGATGCCCACTCTCCCCACTGTGATTCAACACAGTACTGGAGGTCCTAGCCACGGCAATCAGACAAAACAAAGAAATATAAGGCATCCAGATTGGTTAAGAACAAGTCAAACCGTCACTATTTGCAGAAGACATGATATAGTACATAAAAAAACCCTAAAGACTCCACTCCAAAACCCCTACAAGTAATATCTGAATTCAGCATAGTTGCAGGATACAAAATTAATACACAGAAGTCTGTTGCTTTCCTAGACACTAAAGATGAACTAGCAGAAAGAGAAATCAGGAAAACAATTCCTTTCACAATTGCATCAACAAGAATAAGACAGCTAGGAATAAACTTAACCAAGGAACTGAAAGACCTACCATACCCTGAAAACTACAAGACACTCTTAACAGAAGTTAAAGAGGACACTAACAAATGGAAACTCATCCCATGCTCCTGACTAGGAGGAATGAATATTATCAAAATGGCCATCCTGCCTAAAGCAATTCAATCCCCATCAAAATACCAACAGCATTCTTCAACGAACTGGAGCAAATAGTTTTAAAATTCATATGGAACCAGAGAAGACCACGAATAGTCTAAGCAATCCTGAGAAGGTAGAACAAAGCAGGGGGATCTCACTCCCCAACTTCAAGTTCTACTACAAAGCCACAGTAATCAAGACAATTTGGTACTGGCACAAGAACCAACCCACAAAACAGCTGAACACAATAGAGTCCCCAGACATTAACCCAAACATACAAGGTCAATTAATATACAATACAGGAGCCATGGACATACAATGGGAAAATGACAGCCTCTTCAACATCTGGTGTTGGGAAAACAGGACAGCTACATGTAAGAGAATGAAACTGGATCATTTTCAAACCCCATACACAAAAGTAAATTGGAAATGGATCAAAGACATGAATGTAAGTCATGAAACCGTAAAACTCTTAGAAAAAAAACGTATGCAAAAATCTCATGGACATAAACATGAGCGACTTCTTCATGAACATATGTCCCTGGGCAAGGGAAACAAAACCAAAAATAAAGTGGGGTTATATCAAGCTGGAAGGCTTCTGTACAGCAAAGGACACCATCAATATAACAAAAAGGCGTCCTACAGTATGGGAGGATATATTCATCAACGACAGATCCGATAAAGGGTTGACATCCAAAATGTATAAAGAGCTCACGGACCTCAAAAAACAAAAAGCAAATAATTCAATTAAAAAATGGTGAGAGGAGCTGAACAGACAGTTCTCCAAAGAAGAAATTCAGATGGCCAACAGACACATGAAAAGATGCTACACATCGCTAGTCATCAGAGAAATAAATGCAAATTAAAACCGCAATGAGGTATTACCTCACACCAGTAAGGATCACCACCATCCAAAAGACAAACAACACCACATGATGGTGAGATTGTGGAGAAAAGGGAACCCGTCCTACACTGCAGGTGGGAATGTAAATTAGTTCAGCCATTGTCAATAGCAGTATGGAGGTATCTCAAAAAGCTCAAAATAGAAATACCATTTGACCCAGGAATCCCAATTCTAGGAATTTACCCTAAGAATGCAGCAGCCCAGTTTGAAAAAGACAGATGCACCCCTATGTTTATCTCAGCACTATTTACAATAGCCAAGAAATGGAAGCAACCTAAGTGTCCATAAGTAGATGAATGGATAAAGAAGATGTGGTACATAAACACAATGGAATATTACTCAGCCATGAGAAGAAAACAAATCCTACCATTTGCAACAACATGGATGGACCTAGA